TAGGGGAGAGCGGACGGGATCCCGTATATTCCAGTGGGTGTGGTCGTATGTGGCTGCTCGTAGCGTTCCTTGCGCTTGTAATGGTTCCGTGCCTTGTGGGTAGGTGCCCATCTACCTGCCGGACGTGCCCTACGACTCTGCTCCAAATAGAGCTTCCTAGCAGGGCAGATGATGCAGTATCGGCTAGGGGGTCTCATTTCGAGAACGAGAGCCACAGAGATGGGCGACTCTTTCTTTCGCTAGAAAACGCATGCGGACAGCAGCTGGTGAAGTGATATCTGACATGTCGTTCGAGGCGGGCTTTGGTGAATTGGGCGTGTCTGGCACAGCAGAATAATGCGCCCGAGGCTTGCCCTTGGGTGGTGCGGGCGGCGGCAACCGCGGCAGCGAAAAATAAGTCCAATCAGTCATGGATCCAGATCCGATGACGTTCCCGCATTGCCTCGTAATTGGTTGCACGCCGGCTGTGTTGTTGCTCTGCCTTGACGGAAAACAGGGTTGCTCGACAGACAGAAAGGAGGACAACAAAAGAAACTGCCTCGCAGGAAAAGTCGGTGTGTCGTTCAACCCTCTGGCATGAGATGGTCGGCATTGCCTGCAAGGTACCGACACGCACGGAAAGTCACAGGATCTCTGTGGCTGTGCGCCTGCTTGGCAAGCGAGGGGGTGCTGTGGTGTGGCCTGCGTCTATCCGGACCTCCCATCCGAGCTATCTCTCTCTCTCTTTCTCGCTGCCTTTGTTCGTGCAAGCCCGGGTGGGGACATGAACTGTTGTTCACCGGGCTGTGCGACCTTGGGCTGCCGCGGGCGGCATGGGCAGACGTTGTGACACGTGCTTGCTTTTCGGGCAAGGCAGAAGTTGAGAAATGGCGTCACGGATGATGTGGCTAGTGGAAATGACATGAAGAAACGGAGGACCATGGAGCCACAAGCCGATTAGCCACGCCTTGCGTGGGGGGCCTAGTGTGACTGTGGCTGAGACGCTGCAATCAGCCAATATTCCAGTAGCACATGCAGCAAACAGCAACCCCAGCCGGGAAGAACCCTCACCCGGAGGAGGGCAAGGTGATTTGTGGGTGCCCGAAGCAGCCTATCGGGTAATTGTTAGCACGCAGTGAGTGACGCCATGGCAAGGAGGACCACGGGGCTGCGGAGGTGACTTCTCATGATTGGCGTGAGTGAGCTGGGGGAGGTGTGAGTTGCCTGCGGCTTGCCGAAAGCTCGCCTTATGAGAGGAACTGGAGGGAAGATGCATTGGGCTGTGATTGGACTAGGTGAGATTGCCGCTACCAGCTCTGCAAAAGTCCGAGCTCTGCAAAAGTCCGAGCACATGCTGTGCCCTCATTCTCTTGTTGCCCGACCCGCAAGGCCCTCGCTCGCCGGTGACTCACGGGGCCATCAAGGAGGGAACAAGAAGAAAAGGAAAATGGGCAGAAAAGAGGCTCTTGGTGGGGCATATGTTCGCATTGGTTCGCAATGAAGACGCGGGAGCCTTTCGCAGCTCGAAGGAGTGATAAGTTCTCCTTGGATTGAGCAGTGGGCACAAGCTTTCGTTGTCGCCAGGAAAGGGACCAGCATTTGCGCAGAGCGGAGACAAGACCGGCAAGACTCGGAGAGGGGACAATGAGCTGTGAATTCCAAGCTTGGAAGATACATGGGCCTGGGAATCTATCTATCAATCTATAATTCTATGTGGCCTAGTTGGTACAAGATTGTTTGAGGAGCTCTGAATGGAACATCTGTGACCCGGCTGTGAGGTCCGAGGCATTGCTGCCCTGAGTGGGTGATGGAGCCCATAGGGCAAGTGTACAACGAAACAGAGAAAGGGGACGTGGTGAAGTGGTGAAGTGGCTGGGAAAGGGGAGTAAAATCACATGCTGCCTGACTGAAACACCGCTCTCTCTATGCTGCGTGCCGGACGCCTGTGCTGAGTGGCGTTGACAAAAGAAAGAAAGCCAGGAAAGACTAGACAAGAGGAAAAACACGCGGCCCTGCAAGCCCCCTGCCAGAAGCTTTTGAAACAACCTAAGAAATGCCAAGCGTCAAACAAGGAAGGACAGCGCCCAATAATCGCTTGACGCTGTCGCTAGCAAGCCTTGCTCATGGCGCTCGCGAGGGCGCTGCCACGTGTTCCGAGCTGGCCAGTGGTCGTCGGTGGCGGGGGTTGGAAAACCAGGTACTTGGGTAGAAAAAAAGGCACCCGTGCCTGCAGGTGCCTGCATGCGGGGCTAGTGGGTGGGCGGGTGTGTGCGTGAGACGGCCAGACACCCGCACGCTTCCTTTACTTGTTGAGAGTGCGCTTTTGGGAAGTAGGGCGGGTGGGGGCGTACGGTAGCGTCGGGGGGGAGGCGAATCGAGGGGGAGGCCGGGTGGAGGACGGTGAGTCGGCCCCTTGTTGTATTCTTGCCGGAGGGTCTCTGGGCGATATGTCAAGGCGGCGCTCGCGTCCTCGCTCCACTGCTCAGGTCGGAGCTGTGGCTAGGTTCCTTTGCTATCCCTCGAGGACTTCTTCTTCCGATGCTCCTTTTTTGTGAGTTGAAGGTATTTGGGGTTCACTTCGTTGCCGGAGGAATCAGAATCCAGGGTCGTGTTGCCCACGAGGTTGATGTCGACAGGAGTTTGCCCTCGTGCCGGCGCGTACTCCTCCTGGCCTTCGTAGTCTTGGCTGGGCGGCATCCCTTCGTAGGATGTCCCTTCGTATGCCATTTTCTGAGTTTGATATTTCCTGAGAGGCAAGAGGTGATGAGGCACGTCCGCGCAACTCAGAGGCGCGCTTTAGAGGTTGCCGAGAAAGGAGCAAAGAAGGTGAAAGGTGAGCGCAGTCGAGGAGAGTGTGTGTATTCAGTTGCAAATTCTTGATAATGGGCGGAATGCTTCTTTTGTAGAGAAATTGGGACTCCATAGCACAAGACAGGCCCACAGCACCCGACTACATAATGAGGAGCGATTTACCTTGTTTATGGCAGGCATTTTCTCTCAACCTTCCTGGGATCCACAAGAAACGTACCTCTCGTGGCAAGAAGAAGAAAAAAGGCGCCCGGTGCCGGGGTATCAGCCTCAATCAGGCTCATGGCAGCGGCCAGCACCGCCTCTTGTGTCATGGCAGATATTGCTTCGTGGGGCTCAAGTTGGTGACGGCGGCAAGCACAGCAGCTTCATGGAGGTAACCAAGGCCCTGGGGATGCCTCGGCGACTTCCCTGTCTCTGAGCATCTTCTTCCCCTCCCTCGACCTTCCCTAAGCCCATGCTCGAGGTCCAGCACAAGGAGTCAGCAAGGGCCAGCAGTGGGGTGGGCGAGCTGGCGTGGGGCATGTTCTCCAGCGTTGGATGATGGTGGCGGTGATGTCGGCGCTGCGCGGGTAACATAGGTTTTGGTTGAGTAGTCGGTAACAGTCTTTTGCCCTTGGAGGCCTCGGGCAGAGCAGGGGGCTGTGGAAGTGTTTCCGTTCGGGGCGCTGCGTTGTTGAGTTTTTGGGATACCAGGCGAAGGGCTCTAAGCCCCTTCATTTTCGACACTGGCATGGGACAAACGGCGACATGTGATCGAACAATGGACTTCTTGTTGAGCCCGGTCGTCGGCAGTGGGAGTCGGGCAACGGGGGCCGGGCGAGATCGGCGGTGGGGGCAACTAAGTGGTTCAGGCTTTGAGATAGTTAGCCCAGCGGGCAGCGTCGGGCGTTAGTCTTGAGCCATAGCTGCGCCTCCAAAGAGGCATGCATCGTAGGATAGCGTGACGTGAATGGAGTGAGAGAGGCAAGAGAACGAGACCCGCCCAAGACGTGGAGCTCTTCCCGGCTGCCAGCAAACGAAGAGGAAAAAAGGGCCCCAGGCAGCAAGGCGAGCCGCGTCGCACCAGACATGGCAGCCGACGCTCAAGGCAGATAGAGGGGCTTAGCTTGTAAACAACGCATTGTAGACCCTCCCTGAAGAGACCTGCGGTGAATCAGAGCGCCGAGCGAGGGTCCGTGACGATAACAGAAGGCCCATACAATGTTCCAGTGCGATGGTAAGGTGAACTCGATGACTCCCACAGCGTCGGTGGGAGCTCCGGTGACGTTGTGGTGGGCTGATTAGCCATGCAGGAACGGAAATTAGAGATGTGATAGAGATCGTGGCTGTGAAAGAAAAATGACGAAGATGCAGGGGAGATCTTGAGCATGAGGGAAGGGCCAAGCAAAGGGGAGGGGAGGAGAAAAGAAGGGGAAAAAGGAAAAAAAGAACGAAACAAAGTCTGGCCCCGCCATGCTTTTCTCTCGCCCACAGCACCAGTAGGGCCCGGAGGCTAGAGCAAGCCAGCGGGGTGCATTTGAAGGAGCCGGTGTGATGTGACTACCGCGTCAGCGCGTTTAGCGGTGACGGGATAGGCTATGATGCTGTGGGGGCAACAGAAACGCGACGGCCAAACACACACGCCATCCAGAAGGGGGTGTTCGAGGGAGAGGGCGTGCGTCCTCGAGGGCAGGCCGGCCGTATCGCTGCTCAGGAATAGAGATACGGGGTACCAGGCCCAAAAACACGGCCTTCTGGTGTTGGGCCTTCGACGGCCGGCCATGGCTGCTGCACGTAAAAGGGGCGCCCAAGATGGAAAGGGTTTGACGCTCCTGCACTCTTGGCTGGTGGCTGACAGCCTTGATAGGTTGTTTGCAGGGGTAGCGGCCAGGCTGGCGTGCTACCTGTGATGTCCTGACCCGTGCAGGCAGGCTCCATCCCCGCCGCCGTCCGTTGCATCTGGGAGGGCAGGCTGGGACCGCAAGCAACAGCCAGGTAGGCCCATAAGTAGAAAACGAAAGATGGAGAGATGATGAGCGAGGCAGGGAGTTTGAGATTATGCTCAAGGCTTTATCCGAGGAGAAAAGTTGCACAAGGGAAAGCAGGCAGCCCTCGGGCAAGGACAATGTAAGCAAGCCCGCAGGATGGCATCTCTGCTTTTAGCACCTGACGTGCCAGACGTATGCGACCCTTTGATGACATCCACCCCAGATGTAAACACGAACGAGTGCCAGGCAAGGTCTGAATGCACATCAAAAGTCGATGCCGGATCACAGGTGCTGTGTAGGCTGTGCAGGTCCAAGGAGGAGGACGGATAAGAAGGGAGTGTTGCGCTCGAGCAGAAGCATTCCAGGCAAGAGGTAAGGGCCAGGGAGGTGGGGACCAAATGGTGGCTGCATTCGCACAATCGATACGACAAGCGGCAAGCCACACAATACGCCTCCAATCATACCCCGCTCTCTCACCGGTCTGGGAGCAGGGGGGTCAGTTTTTATCACCGGCGGCATGTTCTCCAGCCTTCCGGATCCAGGATGACCCTCCACCGTTCGCTGTATTCATCAGTTGGCCCAGGCCCTGGCAGTTTGGAGTTTGCCCCACTTGCATTGCCATAATGCGTGATATGCGGCATGTCCAGCAACTATTGCCCCGTCACATTTCCATTATAGCGATAACGAGGATGTATCACAAAGGAGGCTATCACCACTGGCCGGCACACTATTCCAGGCCTTGACACGGAGGATCTGCACGGGCACTAGTGCTCCGCACGGCTGCTGCACCGGGCAAATGCTTACCAAGCACTCGTCGGCAACAACAGGGGTGCGGTAGTGGGTACCGCACCTGCAAAGGAGGGGTATCACTGTATATAAGGAGGGCACAAGGCCTTCGGCCTTGTGCCCGTCTTCCCTTCTCTGGAGAGATCTAGATAAGCATACAATACACCCTATCTTGCACCTTTTGTCCGTCATAGGATGAGTCCAGCACGCGTCGCTGCCCTAATGGTTTTGGGCGGGAAATATGAAGCAGAAAGGCCAAGCCTCACGTGGATTTAATAAGAGGCTGAAATGGCTAGGAATGCACGGGAGCATTACGTGAAGACGAGAGTACCATTTGCATTCCATGCGGATATGTTGCAGCTAACTCCGCCATCTTTGTGCTGCGCACAAAGAATCTATGCGAGGTTACAGCATGGCGCGCGTGATAATTACGCTGATAGGCCGAACACCGATCTTGCGATGTAATTACCCGATACTTGACGAACCCGCGCAGCTTTGTATATTAGCTTTGGGTCGGTCAGCTGTTGGTTATACGCAGAGGGGGACTAGTGTTGTTCTCGCACTTCACTGAGCAGCCTATTTAACTCCCTCGAGTACACGTCGTATTTCGGCTGATTTGGAGGCATGGGGCTGGATTGGGAAATGGTAAAATGAAAAGATGTCGGTAGCAGATAATACTTTAGCAACTTTAAGAGTTTAAGTCCCCTAAGAAATCTATGTGGAGTCTGTCCAACTGAAATGCTCACGCTAAGTCCGCTTCAGCGCTGCACTTTTACAAGATGTCTGACAAAGCATACCTCTGCTGTGACGGAGGCGCCGCGATCAAATTGTATAACGTGAAGGACAAGAGAGAGAAGCATGGGGTACCAATAAGAAGGGTTGGGTGTGGGTAAGGCAAGGAAAAGGTGGGGCTGCCTGGCGTGTCAATCTAAGGGAAAGAATCTAAGGGAAAGAATCTAAGGGAAAGAAAGTCAGGATGATTCGAAAGGACAAATGAAAGCGACGAGAAAAAAAGGCGGCAAATGGCAAATAGGGCTGTAAAAGGCGCTAGCAATGGGTCTTGTTGTGGCAGGGTCGCACGTGGAAAAAAAGAACCAATAAAAATGGAAAAAAAGGAAGGAGCAAGGAAAAGAAAGGAAAAACAATGAAACGAGCGAACGAAAGCCCACAGCCAAAGTTATAAGCCAAGCACATCACATTTCGGCATATGCCGCCCACACCCGACAGCAGAAAGCAGAAACAAGACGAGGCGCACCGCGTGAGTCCGCGTAGTTTGCGGTAGTCTCGCTGCCGAGGCACGCATGCGCGCCGGTAAGCCTTGTTTTTGCGCGCATGGATGGGGAGGCTTGCGCCACACGCCCGTATGCGTTCCTGGCGACCTGGAACTCCTAGTCGTGAAGGACGGACAGCCTTGTTTCGCCTCGTTTTCCTTCTTTGGTGCTGCTTTGACTTGTAGCCTTGTCGGACAGCCTGCTCTTGAGTAGAGCGGGGCTGGTGTCGGAGGATGGGAAGTCGCGTAGCGAGAGCTTCGGCGGCGTCGGGAGCGAGCTTGGCGAGGCTTGCTGCTGCCATGCAGACCCTAGTCGTTTCTCGGGGCCACGACCTTCTACCGCTCTGCTTTGAGGTCTTTGAGGGATCTTTCTTTTGGCCTAAATAGTGGTGCTGGCCGCCTAGTTTGGAATCGGGGGCTGGGGTTGTGGAGGATTGTACGGGCCGTTGGGGTCTCCGTACTTTGGCTCTGGCGTTGACATTTTGCAGATTTGAAGGGAGGTTAGAAGCCGGAAAGAGAAATGCGACCACTGTTGCGACAGTAATCGGGTAGAGTGCTTCCGAAGTCCGAACACTCAACTGTTTAGTGATGTAATGTTTGTTGAAGAGGCGCTTTCTCAGATCGATTTCCTCGGCCACGAGTCTCGCTCTTATACATCTTGGGGGCCTATAACTTTTGCATTGTAGAAAGGCGCCGAGATGCCCGAGAGGTGCTTGTGGTGCCGTCATCTGGGATCGCCTTTTGAGACGTATGGGGCTGGACAGATGAAGAAGTGACATGTGACAGCAAGTTAAACAAATCGGGAGGCAAGGAAGCCTTAGAAAGCTGGGATGTTGACAAGGTCATGGCGAAGGAGAACCAATGGACATGGTTATCGCCCACGGCGGATATCTCCATGGGTAGCATGTGACCTGCCCTCTGTGCCCTTACGTGTCTGAGCCTTGAATGAAACCCGTGCCCTTAGGCAGAGCTGGAGCCATGATGAGTCCTCGCGTCAGTATATGGGCGACGGGGCTTGAAAGGGAGTTTCGAGGGGGCTATGCTGTTGTGGGCGGTGCGCGGCTGGCAGTGGGCCCGCTCATCCGGATTGTATCATGATACGGTGCTGAACTGGGCAGTATGGCGACGGGGCTGTACACTCTAGCTTGGACCGACGGCGATCTTCGTTGAGTCAAAGGCCCCTCGCCTCGACAGACATTCAGGGGTTGTGCTGTGTTTGTTTACGTCGAAGAGAGACTGTTTCTCCCTGGCTCCGGGCTCCGGGCGGTTGTCGACCGTGCGGGGGCAGATGTCCAGCAGTGGGGTCGGACAGGGAGGAAGGCATGGTAGTTATCGCAAAGATCCGAGGACGGGGCGTTGCTGGCGACATGGGTCTTCGGGACTTTCAAGGGGCATCAGGAAGCGTTAGCGCCCAATCTCCAAGTCCGGATACAGACCGGGAATCTTACCGCCCAGGGGCGTGGCCTCTCGTGCGCAGAAGGGGCTGTACGCCGGCAAAAAGGAAAGAAACGATCAAGTCAGATGATGGATGTAGAATTTCAGGGATTGGGGGCACGTCCGTGCCGGCTGCGCCCAGGGTGTCCTCGCCCTTCACAGTTTGACGGCTCGATAGTTGGTGACTTGCCACTAGACAGGGCAGGAAACGGAGGCCTTTTTGGCGCGGGGGGCTCTGTGCTGGCCGCGCCCCAGTCAGGTGCCCATGGCGAACAGAAATCAGGCAACGAGGCGTCCAGGCGTCCGGGCGGAAATCTCAACTGGGCACAACTCGGATGTGGCGCAGGGCGGGATCGAGGGCGGCGACGGGCAAGACGGCGTACGTTCTAAGGGAAAGTCGGGGCGGGTTGGGGCGGAATCGGGGGGCGCAATCGGGATGGCGGAGGGCTACGTTATTGTATCATTCTCAGGCGCGCGGTGAGCTGGGTAGCTGAGCGGTGTATGCCTCCCAACTGGTCGATTCGTATCTTCTGAGAGTGTGACAAAGAGTCACAGTGGAAATCAGCAACCAGATAATTAGGGGAGGACAAAGCCCGTGGCAGAGGCGGGAAGAGTGAAAAAAGAAAAGAAAGAAAAAGAAAGAAAAGGGACAAGGATAACGGCGTGGCTGCCGTTCAAGCAACAAGCCAGTGATGGAGCCTCCATATCGTAATGAAGGGGGGCTGAAAGGCAGGCGTATGGCGCCCGGCTTCGGTGGCCAGCTAGCAGACCACCATCACTTTGTCCGGGCACTGCGGGGCCATAGTAGGAATGAGGCTAGGAAGCCACAACCGTTTGGGGCCGCGCCCAGATTATGTCGTGTCAATCGACGGTGAAGCATGTATGTTGGAGTGTCATGCGAAGGTTCCCGTTTAGAAAGACGTTTACACGCCGCGACTATGAGCACATGGCCAGTTATAATCAAACCCCTCGTAAATAGGAGCGATATAGATTTAATAGTGCGGTACATGCCATATTTGAGGTCACATTGCTTCCGTCTTCGCTGTTTGCCGTCCGGTGATGGCGCTAGCGGTTCCAATGGACGTTGTCAATGCACCCCTAGCGACCGCGTCCTTGTCAATGTGTTTCGGCTGCTCCAGGTCGGCCCCGGGAGCCCTACAAGGGCGGGCCATGGCCCTAGGAAGCCTAGGGAAATGGATGGCCGTGCTGGGCAGGTAGCACATGCAGGTAGTGGTCTCCCTGGGGTGCGCCCACCATCCTCTGTTGTGAATCATCATTTCGGGGCTCGCGGTGGGTTCGAAACCCACAACCCACAGGCAACCCCAGAGGGCGGCAAGAAATGAACGGGGAAATGAGGAAGCGGGGCGGTCAGAACGGATTGAGGCTCTGCCGCCGCATCCTTAATATGGCAAGAATGTGCACATTGAGGAGATGCAACCTTCATTAATCCGGGGCAGCTTTTTTCGTCATTGGGGTTCTGCTTCCGGTTTTCCGGAGCGCGTGATAAGGATGGTGGATGCAGCCATGCAGCAGCAACCATTCGGATGGCGAGCGCGCCAGGCCAGATGCGCGATAGCCGGTGTAGCCGGGCTGCCGACAACCACATTTCCGGGGCAGAGATCAAGGTGCCGGTACAGGGAACAATCTGAGATCCAAAAAGATGGGACGGTCCAGGGACTCCGGGCTGGGCATGTCCCAGCACATTTACATGGATGGGGATATCAGGCATGTCAGGGATGCCAGGGAGCTGCCCAGGTTGGCGGGGACTGCGAGGGAGAACAACCAAGCGCCGGATCTTCAGCCGAGGCCCTGGTTGGCCGCTAGGCGCCAGGCCAACCTCGGCCTTGTCTAGGCCCAAATCGCGGCATCACACCTAGCCTCAAAGGGCAGGTGAAAGTTGGAAGAGTGATGATGGCGCTCGACGGCACCCCTTCCAAATCTCCTCACGCACCTGAGGGCAGCCACAACTGCCGTCTCGTCCGGACCGAGAGTGATTGAGAGATTTTGGTGGTGCCGTGGTGTGCACGCAATATTGGAGCTGACGCTACTTTCTTCCAACCCCTCACCTTCACCGGTTTCGTGTCCAATAGCCTCATCCAGCCGCCCGCCCATTCTCCGTCCAGTGTGCCAACCTGGCCCCCGTCATGCTCCATTGCGCCAAGGGCTTTCCTTTTTGCCCAAGTTCTTTTCTGGCATCCCTTTCGCGGTCCGGGATGTGGCGTCGGTGGAGAGCGAATCCCACCCATCGTCCCCACCGTCAAGCCTGTCCGTTAGCCCTGATACACTTCGAAAGCACATGATGTGGTGGTGGACCCCGCCTTCGTTCGGTGGCTGCGTGTGATGGTCAGGCGCCGACGGCACGCCTCCGCGGTTACGTGCAGTAAAAGAGTCCAGGGGAGTGGGAAACACCGAGTGTTTAAAAACACAAACACCCGGGCGACAGCCTTGTCGCGGAGCCATATATTGACAGGCTCCAGCCCGAGCTAGACGGACCAACCCGAGAGCGGAAAGGGGAAAAAAGAAAAAGCTCCACCATTAGCCCCCCTGCCAGTCACCCTCCTCAGCCTAAGCCCCTACCAGCATTCCGAACGCCATCGTCACAGTTCATACCCACCCAACCCATCACATTGCTTTCACTCGTCTCGCTGGGGCCGGGTTCTTTCCCCTTCCCGATTCTCCCCCACCCCTGCGATAGGCAGGCGTCCGTGTGCTGCCCTTTACCCCACCCCTGCCGCGTAGCAGCACAATCACATCAACTACCACCCTCCCACAGCCATTGTGGCCCAGAATGTACATGTCCACGCGACATTGGCGCGTCCTGATCTCCCCGTTCCTCCTCTGCTTCTTGTTCGTCCAATATCCGGATGAATGAATACCCCGAGCTTGTCACAATAATCCACCTAGCCTGGCCCCAACTCCCAAGAAAAAAAAAGGTAAATCTCTGCCGCACGGCTACCTGCTGTCTTTTCATTGGCCGGCCTCGGGATAGGCGTTTGTGGCACTTTTCCCCCGCTTTTCTTTCCATTGGTTGGGCCGTTCGTTCACTTCCCGTTTCGCGGCAGCTAAGCGTATTTGTCGGAAGTCGAAAGAACGAACAAATCACGGCAACACCCCTCCTGTTCATGCCCACGCTGCAGGCTTTGGTTGCATTCGATATTCTAGGATGGTGCAGGGATGTTTATTGTTCTATTTCCCACCCAGGCTGTCCGAGTCTGACACCGTGCGCTCAGCAGCCCTCCTGCGCTCCTTCATGGACTCTTTGTGGTCGAGTGGATACCCGACCTGGCATCGGGTGCTCTCGGCGGCCTGGCTCAGAAACGTGCCCGGCTGCTTCTCTCCCCCCTTTGTAGCGGGCGTGACAAGCGAGGTCGTGATTGGGGCGGCTAGACCAGCAGCAGCAGCAGCAGCAGCAGCAGCTGGCGGGGGTATGGCAGCCACGTGGGCGGCGGCGTCGGTGCCGGGGCAGACAGAGGACGGAGAGGTGGAAGTGTCGCTGGCCACTTCTTGTAACTTCTGTGCTACCGCTTGTCCCTCGTCCCTAAGACGCTCTGGAGACGTCTGGGCTGATCTACAGCGCATGCGGCTATGTCAGCTTTCCTCCCGCCATTGCGCATGCGTCCTTTTTCTGCACCTTTGACAAAAAGATGGAGTGCTTCCGAGGTAACACCATCTCTGTGTGTGACACTCACCCCTGGTTTGCCTCGAGGGAGGAGCTCCGCGTACACCTGGGGGTTTCCATCGTGGGCTGTGAAGTTTTACCTCGCCCAGGTGTGTTGCAAGTCGAAGTATTTGTTTTAGGCACTGAATGGTCAAAAGATATGGCCTTTGCGTTTCGATAGTCCCATCAAAAGACAGCACCTGGGCCACGCCAGAAGAAGGAAGTGAACAGTGAATGTATTATATACCCCGAATCTCCCATCGAACACCTGATAGCCCTGTCCCTCGGCCCAGCACTAATTCATGCCCAAGCGCAACTGCTGTCTTCTCCCATGTATCCGGGAGCCGCTTTCCTTTAGATCGTCGATAAGCCCTAGCTCCAGCTAGCACACACGTGTCTGAACCGCCAGCGAGCCGGCCAGAGACCAGTTGCATACAACCGCGCCTCACCCCACCTCCAGCATTGGGTGGGTATTCCGTAAAGATAGGAAAATGCTGGCATTCGCAAGGCCGTTGGGCCGCTACACACCGAACCAGACCCGCTCTGACCCTTTACTCACACCGGCTGGCAGCCTTCCCCGTTCCGAATTGTGATGGAGGGTGGCGCTGGAGGATTCATGGATGGAAAAGCAAGCCCCGCGGACCGGTGAGGTCCCAGCCCAAAACCTGCCGCCCGGGTCTGCCCAATCCGAATCAGCCCCGATCACCAAGGAGCAAAAGCAAGGCGAGCCAAGTGACTCCATCACCACCACGCTCTACCGGCGGCTCAGGAATCCGCTCCCGCCTGGGCCAATGTCCGAGACACACGCGGGGACATGCTGGGCCAGACTTTGCGCCCCCTTCAGCCATGTCTCGACGTCACACCAATCAAGCGTTTGGCCACGCACCCACCCAGCAAAACGGAACACGCGCGCGCGCACGCTGTCCTTCTCCCTGAGCTTCACCGGTCCAGAAAGCACAACCCAGCCATATCATTCCTCCGCCTCGTATCCGCACCCGGGCAACCAACGGTGTCGTCGAGACAAGGCTACCTGTTCGCCGCCTACTGGATCCCGAACGGCCCGCCCACGGGTTCCCCAATGTGGACAAGCACCGCCCCGCCATGGCCGAGGTTAGGCACACATGCCTCCCAGCTATAGGCGGTACGCGCTAGCCGGAACGGCGCGTGGGCATATCGACCGTGGGGGACTCTGGCTTCTTTGACTATGTCCCCTTTAATTTCCTGTCAGCACTAGCGTCCTACCCCATGCTCGCTAGGTCCACGCCGTTTGATGCCACTGATGTCGCCACATGCCCACTTTTTTTTCACTCACCCCTTATGCCGCCGCTCCCTGGTGGTTCCCAGCCCGAATCCGCTTTGTGCAACCTTCATTCAGCCTTTACTGGCCGCCCCAGGCAGCAAGCACCGTCCCGAGCATCGTTCCTGTTGATGCCCAACCCCCACACTTTGACACCACGCAGGTTCGCCGGCCTCGATTAAACTCTGCCTGTAACTGGCGCCCAACACTGTTTACAGTTTACACCAAGCATAATGTCCAACGGCATCCAGGGTCGATGAGTGTTTAATACCTAGAGTGGCAGGAGGCTGAAATAAACAACCAATTAAACGTCGTTATGCCGTAGCACACATTTATGCCGTGGCATACATCTTCGGTTCTGCGCAATGCCGCCTTAATGTTATATGCAAGCGAACGTTGTGGAACGGTCGTATCGGCCGGCGAATAAAACCATGCCACAACTCACCAACGACGGGTGTTATAAAAGTGCTATTACCTTAGGTTTCGGGAAGGAGTTGGGCTCCAAGGAAGAGCTAAGATCCCCATTTACTTTTGGCTCGCCACGGAATTATTAGCGCTAAGCTAAAAAGTAAAGCCTTGGGAAAGAGACGTATCAAGAGCTTTCTTCAAATCGGATTGGAAACAACATTCAAAAATGATTATGTAACGGAAGGAAAAGCCAGCAAAGACTTGAGAACTAAATTAACTTTGTGTTATTAAGGGGGCAAACTTGCAACTAGCCGAGGGCACAGGGCTGTAAGAAAATCATTATTTAATTAAAGAACGATTTCAGTACTTAAAGGAGTGTTTAAAGGAGGTTGCCCCAGTACATAGCCTCCCCCAAGCCCTGCGCCACTGATTTCAAACATCACCTGCACACACCACCTGCTCAGTGCTCCCTCCTTTCTTCCCATCTCGCAATTTGGCTACCACCACACAGATCTCGTTCTCTCTCTCTGTTTAAGCCATATGCCTAGACGGGAATGCAGTACGGGCTGCCGTTGGCAGCGAGGAACATGCACTTGGTCTTCGGCGGGCAGTCACCGGCGTACTAAGAAAATATTACGTGTTAGTGGCGACACCAGAGAGCAACACGGACTACTTTTCCCGACAAAATGCGGGACTCGTGAGCAGAAGAGAGTCGAAGCTTACCTGCCAGACCTTCTGCGTGTCGCAGACCTTCCAGCCTTCGTGGCCCGTCTTGGGGTTGTGGGCGCACGCGTAGGTGGCGGGAGTGCAGCCGGGGGCGCCCAGGCTGTCCTCGGTGGGGGCCGCGAGGGCGGCGGCGGCAAGGGCAATGATGACGGCGAAGACCTTCATGATGGAGGTGGTTTTGGGCTGTGTTGGCTTTGTGGAGGGCCGGGTGTTTTTGAATTATTGTATTGCTTGGGAGAGGAGCTTGGAGCGAATGACTGGATTGCTGTTGCTTGGTGATGCGATGATGGAGGAGGAGACAGGAATGCAAACCGGAGGCCAAAGGCGCCCTTTATACCTGAGCAGTCCCAGCGTGTCTGCCACCTGCTCTGGTTCTCGGGCGATGCAAGAGCGGCTGCCTCCTTCAGCTCGGGCTCGTATTGTGCCTGCTTCGGGAAGGAGTCACAACGTGACCTGCACTTTTCAGCCGCTTGTCATGGGATGGCCATGGCTGCCTTCGTCGAGGACGCCTGGCTATGTGGAAGGTGGCTTAGGGCTGATCCCTGCACCTCCGCTAAGGCACACCGCGCTGCATATTCCCGGATTCGGCCCGCACGTTGCAGATGAGCTGGTGGTGACCTGGAAATCACATCAGCAGGAGTGCGGTCACCAGCCCCGAGCTGGCCCCAACGATTCTGGCAACATCAGGCACATACCGAGGTGCTAGTGTTGCGTGCTCCTGCCTCTCCGCCCTGTTGACGATGCTTTCTATTTTGGCACTAGCTGGCTAAATGATGGCTTGACTGATGGGCCAACATCCGGGCTAGGCCGGGGTCCTATTGGAATGCCAAAAATACTCACCACGAGACGAGAAAAAAGCCGTTAAAGTTGGGACGCTAACTGCAGCCGCTCGGGGCGGTGCGCCGATATCCGGGGCGATGCCGTTGGCGCTAGGGCCTGGGGCCAGGTTAGCGAGCGCGTCCGTTTACTCGCTGATTGGGGATTCCCACCCGCATATACGGCACATGCAGGCAGTCCTGCATGCTTACCCCAGCTCCGAACCCAACTCCGGTTTAGCCCTGCTTGGGGGAGGGGCGCACAGAAGCCGGAGAGGTCGGGATACGACACAGGGCTGAAAGGTCACATCATCCAGGGCTGGGAGCACCCAGCTTGGAAGGTGGAACACGGCACCGGGAATGACATCGCCAGCTGGATGGATGGGGAGGGTCGCATGATTGCTTCTCGTATCAGCTCTAGCAGGGAAATACGTAACAGAATCATGCGACGACCATGATGGCGCACTGCAGCTATCGCAGCCATTTTGCGGGGAAGACCTTGTATCTAGAGAGGGGCTGGATCCATAATCGATAGTCGGCGACTTCCGCCCCTCCACCTCGCTACAAAACACGACGGAGAGCCGGTACTCAGGCCTATTCCAGCTCTGGTGAGGGTGGGGACATCGGCACTGTTCCTTAGCTTGATAAGCTGATGGATGGCCTGCTGCGCGCAGTTCCGGGCTCAGCTGACCCCGACGGCTGAGGGGTTAGCTACAAGGGCACTGGATTGGATACCTGACCCACGGCTGATCGGCTAATAGCATGAGCTCAGCTGGCCAGCAGATGGATGCACCAACCGGGGTTATTTAAAAAGAGGCAAGAGGAAACTGTATACAAAACACGTGGGAAAATAAAACAAAGCCAAAGCCGGCAAAGCTTTTCGCATTGCACGTCTTTGTCTGTCGAGGTGCTTGCTGTGATAACAGCGTTTGCTATTATAGCACAAAAGAAGAGCAATAAATGTTAGCTACAGTAAAGGAGTTACCACAAGAGCAACGAACCGTATAGTCACGCATGTTCCTTTTAGCGGAAACGAATAGGGAACGAACAGTTCCACTTACTATCCAAACTTGGGGTGACTTCTAAGGCTAAACTTTAAGCAATAGCACAATTTACCACGTTAGGCTCAAGGCGCACCTTTAATTTTTTTATCGCCACTTATATAACCCTCCGTTTATTAAATTTTTGCAGCTTTCAGCGGCAGTTTGAGCTATTAGTACTAACCCGTTTGTATAAATTGTACCTTATGGGCTGATACGGTGGCAACAGGTTTTGCTTTTTGCGCGATCTTTTAGTTTAAGCAGAACATTAACGCCTAGCAAAAACAAGAACAATTCCCTGCTAATGCAAGCAATATATTGTCGGCATGTCCGACCGCGGGTACACCAATGGCGCTGTACTGCGTAATAGCGTGCGCGGCAAGTCTCGTGTCACCAAGACTGCGCAAATCCCTCATTCCAAACAGAGGCTGGTCTCCCTCTACAGCCAAAGCTTAAAATCGGGGCTTCCAATGCCGGAAGCTTTAGCACTAATGGCTGCGTTATGACTCTCGTTGCGATTGCTATGGACCTGGCCTGTTGATGCTCAGGTGAAAGCCAAAGAGGGGCACTCTAGCATCCCACCCTGACCCTTTAGATCGGTTCCCTCGGATGCATTGCCACCTGTCGACATTTTGGTCGCTTATTTTGGTCGCTTATTTTGGTCGCTTTTTTTGGTCGCTGCTGCGGAGTGGGACGCAGAATTTATGTGCTAGTAACGGCAGACCCAAGAACGCCAAGGAAAGGACATGGCCATATTGAAAAAGAAACATGGTACAAGAACTGGACCCTGGGGCCGAAAGAAGCGGTTGCATTTGAGTCCTTTCGCGTCCAGCGAGGCAGAAGTGATCGCGATAGCGCAGATGGAGGGGCGGTTAAATTCTTCCGCAGTGGACGCAAGCACCGAAAAAGTGGAGCACAGCACGCTGAACAATAACCTGTAGGCCCTGTTCGCCGCTGTAAACGTTTCCCGTTAGGTCCTGTTAAATTCCTGGGCTGGCAAAGCGTGCAATCACTTTTGTCCAGGTCGCACAGAAGGTTCCATCAGGCCAAGCTCGCAAAACGAAATGCCCCAGGAACCAATTAAGCCTTGGAAAAGTCGCAACGCGAGACCCATCGCGAATCTCGGCGATGCCAATGGTAGCATTAACCAGCTCGAATCCCTCTCCATTATGAGCGGAATTCCCAGCGACTGCGCGAAACTATTTCGTAATCGACCGCGATATGGTTCTAGTTTATGCCTTGTAAGCGAAGCAACGAAACCATGTCCAATTTGTCGTCCGGTTAAGACCAGCATTCGCAACTCGGAAAAGCTACAGACGGCCCAGAGCCCGGTTACAGGCGGCCAACCCCGCGCTTTCCAGCTCGTCAAGCCCCCAGACTGGGGCCGTTTCCAACACCCCCACCCCCGCTCCAGGGGTAGTAAAGGCTCCATAACAGAGCCGGCCGGTCATGCAGTTGAGATCGGGGCTGGCAAGATGTCCACACATGGGACCAACGCTTCCTGCATGTGCCTTTCTTGGTTCTGGCTTCTCCCTTGGCGATAATTTGTCAATGCACCTCGGTTATACGATATACCCACCTACCCCTTTCGTGGCCGCTGTGCTTTACTACATTTTTTAGTAGCACGGCCGGCTGTAAAACGGAACCCCAGCAAATACGCAAGCCCCGACACCCTAGCCAGACTTGGCTTCTGTAACAGGCGCCGTCGTCTTGCGCGGTCCGACGGCCAATGGCGGTACTGGCAGTAAGAGCTGTCGGCCGCCAGCTGCCGCGGCCTCGGGCCCTGGGGACAAAGTCCCTGCGGCACCCCTGGCGGCGGCATGGCCGGCCCATGAGCCGACTGAGCATATCCCATGGACCGCAGGAGGTAGGTACGCGACAGCCGTGACCGTACCCGAGCATGACAGCCACCTACAGCTAGAGTCCCCGGTCTGACAGCCTCCTCCCGCCAGCCTCCACTACTCACCCAAACCATCCCTGAGCACTTCGCCTCGGTCGTGTCCAAACACGGCGACCGCCCGGCCGTCATCTGCCGGTCCCCCACCGCCGCGGCCTCGGCCCTGCCCCAGCCCCAGCAGCAGGCGCCGGCGCGGGCGCGGGAGACGGTGCTGACGTACCACGAGCTCGACCGGCTGTCGGGCTCACTCGCGCGCTCGCTCCGCGGGCTGGGCGTGCGCAAGGGCGACCGCGTGGCCGTCAGCCTGGGCAACTGCGCCGAGCACGCGGCGCTGACGCACGCCGTCTTCAAGCTGGGCGCCGTGCTGGTGCCGCTCAACCCGGGCTTCGGCGCCGACCAGGTCGCGTCGGCGCTGGCGCACCTCGACGCCGTGGTCTTGGTCGTCGGCGCCGTCACCGACCTCGCCTACCGGCCGTGCCGGGGGCGCCCCAACCTGCCCCTGGTGCGGGCCCTCGTCCCGGACCTGGAGGCGCCGCGGCTCTCCTCCCCGCGCGTGCCGTCGCTGCGGGCCGTCGTCGTCGTCGACAACTCGCCCGACCACCCGGGCTGCCCGCCGCTCCCGCTGCCGTCGCACCGCGCCCTCACGCCCTTTTCCGCCCTGGCCGACTCATTCTTTCTCTCGTCGTCGTCTGCATCCACCACCGCCATCGTGCCCGACTCCCCGCTCGACCCGTCCGACACCATCAACATCCAGTTCACGTCGGGCACCACGTCGCACCCCAAGGCCGCCATGCTCACGCACGCGGGCATCCTCAACAACGGCTTCCTCATCGCCGACCGCATGGGCCTCACCCCGGCCGACCTCGTCGTCTGCCCGCCGCCGCTCTTCCACTGCTTCGGCTCCGTGCTCGGCTACATGGCGACCGCGACCACGGGCGCGGCCCTGATCCTCCCCTCGCCCGCCTTCGACCCGGCCGCGTCCCTGCGCGCCGCGTCCGACCACGGCGCCACGGCCCTGTACGGCGTCGCCACCATGTTCGTCGCCATGCTCGAGGAGCTGGAGCTGGAGCGCGGCGCGGCGGCGGCGGTCCTGTCCCCGGCCGAGGCGGCGACGCTCAAGACGCGGCTGCGCACCGGCATCGCGGCCGGCAGCTCCGTGCCCGAGGCGCTCATGGCGCGCCTCTTTGCGCGCCTGGGCCTGCCCGACCTCGTCATCTGCTACGGTCAGACCGAGACGAGCCCCGTCAGCCTCATGACGGCGCCGGCCGACCCGCTCGCCAAGCGGACGGGGTCCGTGGGGCGCGCCATGCCGCACACGTCCGTCAAGGTGGTCGACCCGGCCGACCGGTCCGTCGTGCTGCCGCGCGGGAGCCGCGGCGAGCTGGCCGCGTCCGGGTACCTGGTCATGAAGGGGTACTGGGGGCTGGACGGCGGGGACGGTGCGGCGGCGGCGGCGGCAGGCGATCGCGTGTGGGAGCCCGAAGACGAAACAGAGGGGGGCGACGGCCAAGGCGGCAGGGTGTGGATGTACTCGGGCGACGAGGCGGCCATGGACGACGACGGCTACGTGGCCATCACGGGCCGCATCAAGGACCTCATCATCCGCGGCGGCGAGAACATACACCCGCTCGAGGTCGAGAACTGCCTGTTTGAGCACCCGCTGGTGGCCGAGGCCAGCGTCGTCGGCGTGCCCGACGCCCGCTACGGCGAGTGCGTCGCCGCCTTTGTCGTGCCGCACGCCGGCGTCGCCCTGGCCGGCGGCGTGGCCGCAGCGGGGACGGCGGACGCGGGATCAGAGGCGGGACCGACGGATCAGAGGCGGCTGACCGAGGACGACCTCAAGGAGTGGGTGCGGCAGCGGCTGTCGGGCCACCTGGTGCCGCGCCACGTCTTCTGGGCCGACGAGTACCCCAAGACGGCGAGCGGCAAGATCCAAAAGTTCAAGCTGAGGGAGATGGCGGTGCAACTCCTGGCCCGGGAGGAGACTGCTCGCAGGGGGACGTCGTCGTAGGAGTTTCTGGTCGGACCGGATTCGACATGTTATAACTTACCCGCATCCTCCTGTCTCGACCATGACGCACATGCACCCACACGGCTATCGCATACTGTTGTGCACGCACTACGCCATACCAAGCCCAAGATATCTTCAGAGGTTGTTCATAACTGCGTATCTTCCCAGAGGAAGGCTCTATTTGACATTCCAGGAAATAGTAATAAAGCGACTGGTAGATGATCTGGCGATGCAATGCCGCGGCAGTAAGTGTAGGAATAGAAAAGGGGAGGCGTCCCCCCGTGGACATCAGGGCGGGCACTGCCTCTAAGCCCTGCCCCGGTATGCTGTAAACGAATGAGTTTTGCCCCATTTTGTGTATGCCTTTGACAATGGTGTCCCCTTCGTGTCTGGCCCGTTCCTGTGGTCTCCTTGGGGTCTAGTTGTGCTGCTGATCTTCTCTTGGAGAGAAACACGGCCGTGTCTGTAGCCTTGTAACATGGAGAAAGAAAACGACGGGCCAAGAAAATATGAAAGCGATGCAATTGAAAAAGAAAAAAAGAAAAAAAGGGAAAAAAAGGAAAAAAAAAAGAAAAACCTCTACGGATTGTGCTCGAGTCCGGTTGTGAAACGCCTTGGTTCGCCCGCAAAATGCTAGGTGGAAAATGAAGCAAATAAGTCTGACAAAGGAAAAGAAAGTGGTTGCGAAATCAGAATTATCGTCAGGGTCGCTCGTCTACTGCGAGAATCTCAGGGCTTCTTCTCCTTCTCGTCCTTTTCGTCCTCTGTTTGCTCGCCAATGTGGCGTAATTCTTCGGGCTTCCATGTGCCTGTGTTAAAAAAGAGAAGCTGGTTAGCGGGAGCCAAGACAATGAATGTCGAACAAATGCTCGCAAGTGTCACGTTTCGGGTGAAAGCTTGTCCAGGATCCACTCACCCTCAAAGTCGTGTTTGACAAACGCCATGGGATCATCATACTCCTTGGCGCCCATCTGCTGCACTCCCGGCGAGAAGCTCGTGATGGGGAGGACGATGACGTCGCCGACGCGCTTGGGCATGTCCATGCCCGTAAAGTTGCGCCAGTCGATGGGCCCCTTGGAGTTGGTCATGTCAAAGTAGCGGTCGTCGTTGAAGTAGTCGAAGACGATGTCGGTCCAGATGGCCGGCCCCGTGAACTCGACCACGTTCTTGTCGCTCGTCTCGAGCAGGCCGGCGCGCTTGCGCCGCAGCGTCTCCTGCGTCACGCGTGACACTATCTCGCGCAGGACCGGGTGGCCAGGCTTGGCCTGGATGGTCCACTGGCAGAACTGGATGCGGCGGCTGTACCAGTCCTTCCAGTCGGGCCGGTCGGGGTCCGCCTCGATGCCGATGACGAGCCCGACGGCGTCGCGGGGCACGCTCTCGGGGATCCACTCGAGCGCGCTGCGGAGGGCGTACGTGTCGATGTCGGTGTAGATGCCGCCGCGGGCCAGCAGGATCAGGTAGCGGAAGAAGTCGGCCTTGAGCACGGGCAGCGGCAGCGCCTCGTAGGCCTCGAGCACCTCGGGGACCGAGGCGTAGAGCAGGCGCAGGAGGTGCACGGCGACCGTGTCGGTGATGACCTCGTGGATGAAGCCCGGGTGCTGGTCCGTCCAGGTGGCCTCTTGCTCGCGGAAATTGAACTCGCCGTGCGCTGGCGTGTACTTCCACGTCTGCCAGATGTAGGCGGGGAACTTGGTCTCGACGTCGTACGGGTATTGGTACGCCAGCTTCTCGTAGAGGTTCATCTTGACGTCCATTATCGGCCTCTGGCCCGGCACTCCAAGCTTGTCACCGCCTGTCTTCCCCAGCCTCCCAGCCTGGCTGGCATCTTTTTGTTGCTGTGTTGTTGCTGTGGTCGAAGGTCGCCTTGTGTCCACGAGGAGCTCCTGTCCGTTGAAGTCGCTGGCCGGTGCCACGAAGGTGTCTGGTCTCGGCGACGGCCGCGTCAGGTAGTATATGGCGGTGAGGAAGAAGACCGTCGCTATCAGCGCGCGCTTGAAAGTCATCATCTTGAGCCCGGCACCGCTGTAGTCGCGCGTCGATAGCAGTGGGGTATGCGGAAGAGGAATGGTATGGTCGGGTCAACCGCTCGTCGCCAACATGCGCGTGTCGTCGTCGAATTCACTTCGCCGGGTGGTACGTTTGGAGTGGGGCTGGCAGTTGCAGCGGTGCGGCTCCAAGTCGCAGCTGGAGCAGCAGACGGTCGGTTTCGTGGGTGGCGCCAGGGGCAATGGCTGGTCTCGACTCGAGCTTCCCAAGCCAAAGTGGTGTTCTAGACAGGTTGCTGTCAAGTCTAAATAAATATCGAAACGCTGTCCTGGTTTTTTCGAGGTCGCGATGGGTGCGGTGCTTCCACGAGGCTAGGAGTGTGGCCAAGGAGGAGCTTCGGGGAATCAGGGAGTGAAGGCAACAGAAATCTAACAGTGGTGAGAAATCAATAGATTACAAAGGCGCCACAGGCTCGCTGAAGTGAATCGTTTCCGCTGTAGTCTAGAGGGAAGGAAGAAGCGAAAGCAAAGGAAATAGAGTCGGAGAAGCTGTGGGCGAATGGGGCGGCGTGGCTGCAAGAGACTTGGCTCTCCAAAGTTGTGTCCCGAAAAAGAAGCAAAAGGGACAGAGGCCGACGCCGAGGCTGTTTATCGGGAAAATCTCAGCCAAGCGATCTGTCCGTGCCTGGGGAGGAGCCAGATTTAGAGCATGGGAAATTTTTTAGGGGCAAAACACTCGGGGCGGCAGGAGCACGGGCGGGCAGCGCTGACCTTGGTTATTATTATTTGGATTGGCATGGGACGGGGCCGATCTGCGGGAGTTCATGTTGGCTCCACAGCGCGAACCTTTGCGGGAAGCCGCCCAGCCAGGTTGAAGGCGCAATCAGCTCCAATGTGCACCCCGCCAAGTACTGTACTGTGTAGTACCTGTAAGGGGGCTTACCTGGTACCGTGTGCTGAGCACTCCCGCTTCCAGAGAAAGGGAAGTATTCTTGCAGATCCCTTGGCCTGCAAAGGTGTGGGCAGCGCACAAAAAGCCATTTCCCGGGCCAATCGAGGGGCTTGGTGAGGCTCTGATGCACGCACGTTGTGTGCCGTAGCCATGCCCAAAATAGAGGAGCTGACGGCCAATGCTGCTGCGTGGAGCACACGTCGGGGCCTGGAAATCCCAGCCCAGCAGAGACCCAGAGCCACGTTTCCCTTGGCCCGTCCCTCGCGACTCGACCCACTATCCCGGGCTTCGCTGCAGCTATCCAAAGCGGCCGCCTCGACTTATCTAGGGATATGTATCTACCTAGGTAGGTATTCCTAGATAGGCATGTGGGTATTCGGATAAACCAGAGCACAACGTCTCTGCTGAATCACACATCGGACGATCCCAAGACCCCTTGTGTCCCGTTGCGGTTTAGGGCAAGGCATATTGGGGACATATGGTGTGCTTGTCTAATGTGCTTGTCCAATGTCCAGCATCCCTCGGAACATGCTCAGCCCTCTCTCCTTTCCTGGTCCGTTTATTGCCCTTTTTCTGAACGCCCATCGTTTGCACATCACATCGATGTCAGCGCAGATCCGCGTCGTCCTCCGTCTCCCGTGCGTGGGGTCTGTCTTTTTTTTTTCTGTTTGTTTTCCCTGCTTTTTTCCCTGCTTTTTCTCCCTGCTTGTTTTCCCTGCTGTTTTCCCTGCTTGTTTCGTCCGCATCAGGCAATGTTGCTCGATTCACTCGAGCCGACAGAAAAGGGGCCGACATGCGCCTCTCTGGCAGCCCCTGGGTCCGCGACTGTGCGTTTGCTTCAGCCGAAGTGGAAGATAAACAGCCACAGGCCGCCCACATCCCTCAGCTGGCCTTGGCCCCCACGCCAGGCCGGCTCAGACGGGCACTCAGCTGCAGGTTTATTGACCTTGACTCTTGAGCTCTGACAAGACCAGTTGAAGCGTCACAAATCCCCAGATGGGTGGGGCCACATCTCGGCCGGAGCGACAGGCAAAAAGACGGCTGGCTGTGCAGGGAAAATAGGATATTGAACGTTACACTGTGGGTCTGGTCAGCAAGGGTATAAGCAAGGGGGATAGGGGTACATATCTTAACGCACAATTTGTAGTAGGAATTAATGTATTGTGACTAACAGCTTGGGACGATTCTACAGGTCCCAGGGATACAAACCTAGTACGGTGGATCCTGGTGGTACATCAGTTTGGCTTGGTTTTCCGAGGAAGAAAATGTATCTTGCATCCACCGCACGAGGGTTTGTGATCCCTGGGACCTGTAGCGGGTTCTGGCAAATGGAGTAATTTGGCGGAATTTTCTATGAGAGAAAATGTAGATTCAACGTGGCCTAATTAGGAAGGATCTGCGGGTCGTAACGTTCAATACCTATTTTCCTGTAACCAAACCAATTCTGAAACACGGCGGACCAGGGAGCTGTCAGGCTGGGAGAGACCAATGCCCTTGCAAGATTGCGCGACTATGACGTCGGGTCCATTGCAGGCGGATCAGCCTGTCTGGCCCCACCTCTGATCCTTTTCTGTGTGCGGCAACAGCGAGGCCAGCTCACCACACACCATCCCAGGGACCCAGCCACCAACTGAAAACAAAAAACGAGCCACCCAACCAAAATAGGGGCACATTTCAAAAAGCTGTTTATCAACAACAAAAATAGAGGTTAACCGCTTTCCCTATGCAATTTAATGGGCAGTCAAGATTCTAGGTAATCGATGCTTTTCTAGGCGTAAAATGGTGCTGAGGCATCGCGAATTGGGTTTGTTTGATCGAGACTGATGCTTTCTGCTATAGAGTTTATGGGGGAAGTGGGTCTTTTTTTTTTTTCGGTTGGTGCCAGCCACCAGAGGCAGCTCCCGCTAAAATCCCAAACCGAAGGCGGAGACAGGCTTCACGCTTTCACACGGTGTTACCCACTCCCCGTTTGCCCGTTGCTGTCGAGTTGCAAACGGAAAGGCCTCTCGGTGTCTCGCCGAGAGGAAGTCGGTATTGCTTGCTAAGGACTTTGCATGGCCACCTCACCCCAGATACAAGGGCAAAAACACGCGCACGATCCTGCGGGTCAGCCAGACCACCACCCTCTCGGACATGCGCCGCTCATGCAAATACCCCGCCCACCGGGCTCGCTGATAAGGATTGGCGAGAGGATGACGAGAAACGAGGGACTCGTAATAGGCCGGTAGTTCTGTTTGCGCAATGCAATGGCAACACGAGCTGGCAGGTGGACCCTCATCCCAGACAGCTTTTTTCTTTTCTTTTCCCTTCTTGGTCCCATGGCGGCCTGTTCGTGAAAGAGGACCTTGACCAAGGACCTTGACCTCGAGTCCCAGCCAAGGTCGTAATGGACACACAAGGGGTACCACTGTGGTGCACTGTCCGGCCTGCGGGCGGGGTTGTTGTGCAACAGCCAGGCAAACTACTAGTAGCACAGCTTGTCCAACTCGACTTCCAGGCTGCTTCCCGATGGGGACCATGCAGACGCAGACAGCCACGTACAGCCTGCTGCACGCTGATTCAGAAATCGACCACGCCTCGGCGGATCAGTAATCTTCTCGCTGAACGCTGCCCCCCCCTTCGATCGTGGTTGTCCACGTCAACAGAAGCGAACGGAGTCGATGGGATATTCTCTTCTGTGTGCGATCCCCGTCTCGCGAGATTGAAGCCACTCAAGCGTCGGACTGAGCACCTCGTCGAGGGCCCTTGTACCGCCGGGGAACGAGGGAGGGGCTCCCGGGGGCCAGTCTCCGAGTCAGGACCCTGGTGGGATTTATTTCATTGCCTTCTTTTTCTTTTTCTTCGATTCAATATTTGCATGGCAATTTTCGATTTTGTTCGATTCCCATATTGGCCTCTTTTGATGTTCCTCTTGGCACCTCCCCTGCCTCTGTTTCGCATCCGTTGCATTAAATTTGGATCACCACGGGAGCCCTTTGGCACTGCGTCCCCGCCGGTCAAGACCGCTGACTGTCAGCCACCAAACAAGCTTGAGCTTGGCCGTAAAACCTTGGTCGTAAAACACGCGGCTCCACCCAATCGGGCGGTTGAGGTCGAGATCGGCCTTCTTCGTCCACCCCGCCGAACCAAGGATCTGGGCGTGGAGACCCCCTATGTTCATCACCCTATGTCCATCACGCCAACGGGCAGGCTGACGAGACGCAGTCGCCCCCAGGAAACATGCCACGTCTGTGACTGCATCGTCAACGGCTCACCGTGCGACCGGCTGGAAACACACGGCATGTGGGCGGCCCGACGTGAGCTGACGTTGACTTGACGAGCGCCGGGCCTCGCAGCCCACGGGGCAAATACGACAGACTGCGCCACCGTGGTGACGAACGATCCACGACGGCCTTCGTTTCGGATCCGGCACGGAGTTGCATGCTCCGAGAGTTTGCGTCCGCCGAGGTGGGTCTCCGGTCCCGCTGCCAACGGTCCGCGGACTCGGACTTTGATGCTTCCACAAATGGGAAACGTCCTTGTTGGTTTGAATTGTGATATTCTTCCCTACTTGATATTGAAATTTTTGATGATGGCGGAAAAAAAAAGGTGGTAAAATGGACACGAAATGAATCGAACAACAAGCAGAGAAGAATGGAAAAAATGCTAATATGTTCATTGAAAGACACCCTCTTGACCTAACGGCCGTGTCGAGTGCATGGCTGCATGACCTAGGAAACTCTTCCAACCCGACTGGACGGAGAAGCCCCCGAACCTCGCCCTCTGCTTCCTTTACTGGATGTTGCCGTTCCAGGTGTTGACCTGGAAGGTGGTTGGGCCGCCCGTGAAGGGCTCGGAACCGAACTGGAGGGCTGGAGGCGACGACATGTCAGCACCCAACACACACACACACACTATCCTCGGCGGGGCAATAAGCAAGGCGACTCACTGGTGAGGTACTGCTGGCCGGCCGGGTAGCCCTGGCTCTGCTGCAGGTAGTTGAAGAACTGCTTGAGGTCGGCGTTGAAGCTAGTGATGGAGCCCTGCGTGGTCACGAAGCTGTAGACGCGCATGCCGTTGTTGAGCCCCGACCACAGCTGCCAGTTGCGGCCCGCGACGTTGGCGTTGCCGATCTGGCTGCCGATGGGCTGCACGTCTCCGAACCGGCCGAGCCTGTTTTCGGAGCAGAGTGTTAGCATGCCGGCCCAGGAGTACCCAGGAGTACGTCTCCCCTTCCTTGTCCACCTCTCGGCTGCCCATCGTCGATCCGATCCCACCCAATGTAACCTACCAGACCATGAGCTCGTAGTCGCCGTGGGTGTTGTCGCGGTTTGGGTCCGTGCTGGTGAAGAGGTCGTAGGCGACGTTTGCGCGGATGTTGCCGTTGCTGTAGTTCCACTGCACGTTTGAGGGGATACTGTTGATGGACTGGATGGTGCGGCCGCGCTGGATCTGGCGGCCCGAGTAGGGGTACGACTTGACGTTGTTCTGCCCGCCCGACCACTGCCAGGTGGTGCGCCACGTGACGTGCTGGTTGCTCGACGTGTCGACGTAGGTGCACTGCGACCCGGACCCGGACCCCTTGCCCCACGCGTTGTTGTTGACCTCGAAGCCGTTGCCGGACCAGTAGCCGTACTGGTCGCACAGCGTCTTGAGCTGCCGGCCCTCGAGCGGCGTCACCGCCGACGTGCCGGCCGGCGCCGCCGACACGAGCGAGGTGAGGAAAAGGAGCGCCGTTGCCGCCTTCATGATGGATCTGTGGGGGTTTTTTTTTTTTTGTATCTGTCCAACTTGACTTGACGGACAGGGAGGACGTGCTGCTGTCGACTGGGCTAGGGCTGAGTCTGGCTTTGGTGCGGATCACAACGGCTGGAGGCTCAAGGCTGGACCAAGACGACAGCAAACGCCACGTATATATACCTCTGCCCACATGAGCTGATTTCCTGGTCTTGGGACGGACGCTTCCGTTCCTGAGCGGGCCGTGGGGGCCTGTCCACCAGGTTGTACAAACAAAAAAAAATCGATAAAGGGTCTACCAAGGTACGCGCTCAGCCCGCCCGATCCCCATCTGCCGTTCCTGGTGGAATCTCACCCCTAGCTCCTCTACGGAGCTAGCTCTCCCCCAGTTTCGGAGATGCGGCGCGACGAAGCAGCGACAACGGCACCACCCAGATCATGGGAACCCGCAGCTGGACACGAGAAGCTCGGCGTTCAAAGGCAAAACGGAAAAAGAAAAGGCTCCGTTTAAAGCAGACGGGTCGGCGCAATCGCGGTGAGATTCGGGGGTAGTAGTCAATGTCAAGAATGGAGCCGCATCCAAACGAAACATCCAAGGACGGCCGCTAGGATGCCGGCCGTCCCACTTTGGACGCCTGCGTTGTGGTAGGACGCGGGAGGATACCCGCTCCATCGTACCCAGGCTCTGGAGCTCTTTGGGGCTTTACTTGTCTTAGTTAATGCTTGGGTATAGCCCCGGATCTTGTGACTCGATGAGGGGGGAGGGCCCGAGTCTAGATGACATGCCGTGAGTCGCGTCTTGTGATGATGCCCGAAAGGAGGAATGTCCGGGGCGAGGCCACCGCTCCCCACACTTTGTTACCCCAGGTGAATCCACCAATCAGCACCCCCCAACGCCAACACCCCGGTTGGCCATCTGCCGTTTTGCCTCCGACTACGTGCCTGTCAAACGTCTGCTGTACAGATACACCCGCCTATTTCTGCAAGCCGCGGCTGACCATGCTCCTTTTGGGATCTTTTGTTCGCCCGCTACCCCGGGGTCCGGGCCTTTGTCTGTCTTTTGCCCCTGGATAACGGGCAGAGGCGAAGGGAGGAGGGCGGAGACCGGCACTGAGGTCGGCATTCAGTGACATCGTGCCATCCCCTGGGCCTAAACCTAAAAAAGAACTCCTCCCCCGCTGCTGTAGGAGTGAGGGGGGCGACGCGGGGCCCAAAACGTCATGTTCCCCACGATGTTGGGCGCCGACAGCGGTTTGGCTCCCTGATTCTCTGGAAAAGACAGGTTGGGGAGGTGCAGGTGGAGATCATGCTCCAGAACACAAAAAGAGAGTCGGCCCGGATGCCTGGCGGCTGGCGGCATCGAGGGACTTTGCGCTCCGCCCGCAGGCTCGGGGATGCGTTGCTTGGCTTTTTATTTTTGGGGCGCAGGTGGGTTTTGCCCGGCGCGACGAGCCGGCTACGATCGTACGGTTGCACTTTATAGGAAACCATGACAGGTACATCACCCTGCTTGGAATGGGGTGACGGCCTCCTCGCCTTGGAGGTCTGTTTGGCAGGTTGCATGGGGCCATTGTGCCAGCCCCGTGACAGCCACTCCCGCTCCTGCCGTGGGGCCGATTAGTCCACGTGCTTGCTTCGTTGTAATAGTCTGACTAATAGGTTTGATAGTCACTAGGAGACAGGCTTGTAGGGGCTCTGGTGGCACGGCGCGTTTCGCTGAATACACATTTATTACAAGGGCGGGCATTCCCTTCTTGCATGGTATATACAGATGTGTCCAGGTAAAGACAATTTTCCCAGATCTAGCAATGCAGAAACTAACATTCTTGCGCAGGCCCTGCAGCGGGAACATGCACCGCCTTTGGCAAGCTCGGCACGGCGGCCTGAGCGCCGCCCGGGGCCGCGGCGACGACGGACTGGTTGGCGGCAAAGGTGCGCTGCAGCGTGTCGGTCCACTCGCGCTCGAGGTCCTTGGCGGCGCGGTCGTGGAACTCGACGCGGCGGGTGGCGCGCACAAAGTCGACGAGGCGGTTTAGGATGCTGATCTCGATCTTGAGCCTGACGCTGTACACAAAGGCCTTGTAGCTCGTCTGTAGCAGGTACATGCCCGAGTACTCCAGCCCGAGGATGGCGATGTCGAGCACGACGATGAGCAGGTTGACGGCGACGAGGTGCAGGATGATGTTGCGCAGGCGGCCGGCCTCGCGCAGGTGCTTCGTGGCGCCAGAAGCGGAGGCAGCGCCACAGGTACAGGCCCGACAGGACCGTCTCCTGCAGGAAGAAGAGCGTGACCTCGATCTTCTCGTAGACGCTGTACGGCACCAGGAACCGGGCGGGCCCGGGGGAGTTGGCGCCGATGAGCACGACGGCCGTCGGCAGGTGGACCCAGCACCGCGTTGGCCACGATCATGTAGAAGACGGGCCGCAGCACGCACGGGTTGACGTAGAGCAGGCGCAGGCGCGAGTACAGCACAAAGGCCTGGCCCGTCGTCATGAGGATCCAGCCGACGATGATAAGAACGGCTGGTACTAGCTGGTAGCGCGAGAGGCCGAGGTCGTTGATGATAAAGGCCGAGGCGTTGACGAGCACGCCCACGGTGGCCGCCACCATGCTCCAAAAGTACAGGCCGCCGCGCCGCTTGAAGGTGAAGAAGATGATGCGAGGTGCCGGGATATCCTGGACGGCAGGTCAGGCTTGTTGCCGCCACCCGGCCTGCACCTGCTTGCCCACATCTGGTATAGATCAGATATACGTGGGAGGGTGATGGTCAGTATAGAACTCTGCATACCAGATGCGTCGTTCGATCGATGGCTGCAGAGATGTAGTGACTTGGTCCCTTTCCCACCATGTGGAAGCAGGGGAGCGTTTCCTTTCCGAGCAGTCGAAATCCGAACATGACATGCCAGCCTAGGCTAGCGGCCGCTCTTCATCCATCGTGTGCTTCAGCTGGAAACGGACGTGCCCGTATGGCAAGCCAGGCAAGGGGTTTGGGAAGTTTTATAACTGTATCCCACGCCGAAACATCTCCGCGGCGGTGGTTATGTTAAGCGGTGGGCCATGTTGGCTTTGGTTGGCTTCATACCTGACTGAAATCCACGACGTCATGGGTAGCTTCGGGCCACCATGCCTCTGCGGCGGCTGGACGGTGACCACCATGTAAGAGACACAGGAGCAGAGAAAACGCCAAAGCATGTCTTCGGCTGGCCGTGAATAGGGACTTGGGTAAAGACTTGGGTAAAGCGAAGGACATCTCCTGGCGACGATCAACTTCTTTCCTACCTTGTCATCCTCATCGGCTTTCTCTCTCGGCCATGCACAGACTCCAGCCCTACAGGGCCTCGCACCACTTCAATATACCCAAAGATAGCTGAACCGTCGACGATGTTTGGGTGGAGATTACCCCGCATAAGCAATGATTGGCTCACACCCAACCCAGGTGGTGGACGAAACCCCACCAAAGGTTCGTCCAAGACGCCAATGACGGAACCTGCATGCAAACCACACAGAATTTCTAGGAGAAAAAAAGTTCAGCCTCAATGGTTGGGCGTTGGGCCGTTTTCTGTCGACATCAAACCATGCTTTTTTCCCCCTTGTCTTGGCCGGCCAATGATGAGACCTCGGACGGCTGAATGACTTGTCAGTTGGGGCGTTTCTGTGGATTCGGTCTCCTCTTTGCTTCTGGCATCAACATCCCAAAATCAAAATGTCCGACTCAAAGTTCCAGCTGATCGCCACGGCGCTGGCCTCAGGGGTCGCAGCCGCCAGCGTGGTTTTGGGATACCAGCAGGTGGCTCAGGAGGAGAAGTTGCACAAGCTCAAGAGGTCCATACCCGGCACCAGGAGCGACAGGGAGCTGTCCAAGAGCCGACAGCTGACCGACTTTGGCGCGACCCTCCCCCCAACGCCGACAAGGAGGACCTCCGCAACGCGGCGCTGGCCAAGCGCGCACTGTCGGGCGACTACGACGAGGACCTGGTGCGGGAGCAGCTGGCGCGCAACGGCGCCTTCCTGGGGGCCGACGGCCTGTCCCGGCTGCGCGGCGCCTTCGTCGTGGTGGTGGGCTGCGGCGGCGTCGGCTCGCACTGCGCCACGTCGCTGGCCCGGTCCGGCCTCGGCCGCCTGCGCCTCGTCGACTTCGACAACGTCTCGCTGTCGTCGCTGAACCGCCACGCCGTCGCCACCCTCGCCGACGTCGGCACCCAGAAGACGGCCTGCCTGCGCCGCCGTCTCGTCGCCATCGCCCCCTGGGTCGACTTTGACCTGTGCACCGAGAAGTTTGACGCCGCCGCCGCCCCGTACCTGCTCGGCCCGTGGGCGGCCGAGGGGGAAGGGGGCACTGCCGCCGCCGCCGCCGCCGCCGCCGCCGGCCCCAAGCCCGACTTCGTCGTCGACGCCATCGACAACATCGACACCAAGGTCGAGCTGCTGCGGTACTGCCACGAGCACAAGATCCCCGTCGTCTCGTCCATGGGCGCCGGCTGCAAGAGCGACCCGACAAAGGTCATGGTGGGCGACATCGGCGCCAGCACCGACGACCCCCTCTCGCGCGCCACGCGGCGCCGGCTCAAGCTGCTGGGCATCACGAGCGGCATCCCCGTCGTCTTCTCGACCGAGAAGGCCGGCGAGGGCAAGGCCGAGCTGCTGCCCCTGCCCGACGAGGAGTACCACAAGGGCACGCCCGGCGACCTCGGCGTCCTACCCGACTTTAGGGTCCGCATCCTTCCCGTGCTCGGCACCATGCCGGCCGTGTTTGGATACACGGCTGCGAACCATGTCATGTTGAGCATTACAGGTTAGTTAGTTTTGAGTTTTGCGCATGTACCTTGACCTTGGCTCGTCCAACAATGACATTTCTCATTTGTGTGTCCTAACCCCCAAACCTGCACCCCCACAGGATACCCAACAGACTACGCCCCCGCCAAGGCGAGGGACAAGCTGTACGACCAGGTGCTCGCGGGGCTGCAGGCCTCCGAGACCAAGCTGGTGCGGCACCGCAACGGCGGCGGCGCCGAGGTCGCCGTCGGGCTCAAGACGCCCATCGCGGCCGGCGACATCGCCTTTCTGGTCGAGGAGGTCTGGGGCGGCCGCAGCGCCGTGACGGGCATCTCGACGCGCCTCAACCTCGTCCGCTGGCGCCGGCCCCGCGAGAACCCGCTGATCGTGATCGGCGGGGAGGGGGAGGAAGAGGAAGAAGAAGAAAAAGAGGGGGAAGGGGGCGAGAAGCTGCAGGTGCAAAAGTCCACCAGGCTCCCGCTGGGCGAGCTGGTCTGCGTGACAAAGGAGGAGGCGGCCGTGCACATGCGCGAGGTGGTGCTGGGGGAGAAGGAGCCAGAGGAGCTGTACGACGCAGAGGTGATCGAGAGGGTGGAGAGGAAGCTGAAGGTGGCGGCCTCGTATGAAAAGTACAGGTAGAGCTGCGCAATGCAAAATCCAAGAAACCGCGTGACGTTCCCTCCCCGGGCAAAGGTGAACGACTGGCGCTTGATGCGGGCGACTGGTTTATTTGGCATCTGAGGCTGCTACAAGGTTGGCTGTTTTCCTGTGCAGGATCGACCTTGACCGGCAAAGATGATCGCCACCCGTGAAAAACTTGCATGTCTTTATCTTTATTCATGGGGCTTGCAACGCCGGGCATTCCGGGCCATATCCGCATCATGGGTCGTAGTGTTATCAAGCCACAAAGTATCGAGATCAAGCACCTCTCGGGGCCCTGGAGGGGGGAGCGACAGGCATTACAAAACGTCACTCTCTTGCATCCTCGTTCCGCCTTCCTCCCTCTAACCCTAGCAACCGCCATCCCCCCCGTTCCCCCCGTCCCGCCATGTCCGCCGCCAAGCTCCTCCACCTCCTCGCGGTACAGAGCGCAACCGCCACCGCCGGCGCGCCAGCGCAGACCCCCTTCTCCTTCTCCTCCTCCTCCTCCGCTACTTCCGAGGCCGCCCCGCTCGCGGGCTCGACGGCCTTTGTGACGGTCGCGACGCGCACCGTGACGCCCAGCCTCACGACGTCCTTCACGACCGTCACGGCGCCGGCGCCGACGGGCCTCAGGCCCACCGTGGTGCCGCCGACCGAGGCGCAAAAGGCCATGGCCCGGCGGCCCACGATGAAGCAGTGCGTCGACGACTGGGGCCTGTGCCGGGGCGCGTGTCTGATCGGCATCATCTTTACCCTTGGCATCTCGTGCCGTGAGTTCCTGCTGTCCATGCCGCCAGCTTTACCGGCTTGTTTTTACTGGCTTTCTGATTAGGGCGCGAAGAGGAGGGCTGACGTTTTCGTGTTGGGGGCAGTTATATGCGTGCGTGTCAAGCATTGCGCCAAGATGATCAATGGGGAAAAGCCCGAGAACGGCCTCAACCAGGGCATTTGGATAAAGATGCAGCCTGGACACGAATTGGCCGAGGAGCCCTCGGAGGAGACGAGATTTGCAGAAGCTGGAGAGCAGGAGGGTCGGGAAAAGGTGGGAATTTCGGTTTAATGGATGGCACAGAAGACTGAGAAGAGTATTGTGTCGCTTGTTTGCTATGGTCGAGCGTGAGCCCACGCAAACAAGACAAGGACATTGATTGGAAGAAACATAAAACAGTCGTGTTCTGCAACATCGGACCATCGCATCTGTTTGTTAAGGCTTCCTGGGGACCGCAGAATCCAAGTGCTGACCACCTGTGCTAGCTGAGGCTGAATGATGCAAAGTGACTCATCTCCAGCGCCCGCAACGCCGAGATTGCCTATATGAGCTCGCGCCCAGGGCTGATGGCCCGCCGAGTGCGCTTCTTGGGCAGCTGGGGTCATTTCATACGGCGTATCTGGAGACTCGACTCTACAGTGCCGACTTTGAAGGAAAAAGCAACCAGAACAATGGACAAGACACTGGTCGAGCTCGACGGCACAACGGGGGAGGGCGGCGGTCAGCTGGTCCGCAACGCTGTGGCGCTGGCCTCGGTCATCTCGCAGCCCATCAGGATCGTCAACGTGCGCGGGAATCGACAGTACGGCAAAAGTCGCAAAGGGGGAGGTACGCATCGCACACACACACACACACGCTCACAGACAAGGACGGCCGGCTGATCAAACAAAACAAAACAACCCCCCCGCAGGCCTAAAAGCACAACACGTCGCCGCCATCCAGGTCCTAGCAGACGCCACGGCCGCCGACGTCTCGGGGCTGCATGTCGGCAGCCCGACGCTCGAGTTCCGCCCACGCCGCGGACCGGGCGCCGACGCCATCGCCGCGCTCCTGGCCGCCACCCCCACCACCACCCCCACCGGCGACCGGCGGCTGATCCGCATCGCGGCGAGCACGGCGGCGGCGAGCGCCATGTGCATCTTCCAGTGCGTCTTTCCCTTTTTGCTGTTCGCCGGCAGCGGTAGCGGTAGCGGGCCACAGCAACAACAACAACCCTTGGAGCTCGAGATCGACGGCGGCACAAACACGTCGTGGGCGCCGAGCTTCGACTACGCCGACCAGGTGCTGTGCCCGGCGCTGGAGGCGTGGTTCGGCGTCGCCGTCGAGCGCCGGCTGGTCTCGCGCGGCTGGAACACGGGGCCCGCTAGCCGCGGCAGGGTGTGGTTCCGGTTCCGCCCGCTGCGACCAGGCACCGCGCTCGGCGGATCGTCACCCGTGCCCGTGGCGCAGGAGGAGGGGGGCCCGCCACAGTCGTCTTTGTCGCCGGGCACGCTGCGGGCGGCAGAAGACACCACCGCCGTCAAAACCATCGACGTCACCATGGTCTGCCCCGCCGCCATGGGCGACAAGCTAACCCGCGCGCTGGCCAAGGACCTCGCGGGCCTCTTCCCCGCAGCCGACGTGCGGTTCCGCCCCAGCGAGGACAGCGGGCACCGCTCGCGCATGTTCGTGCTCCTGGTCGCGCGCCCCGCCGCCCCGAGCCCGCTGCTGTGGGGGCGCGACCTGCTGTTCTCGCCGCCGCCGCGCAACGCCCCCGTCGGGCGGGCGCGAGGAGGAGGAGGAGGAGGCGATGGCGACGAGTGGGCGCTCAGCACCAGCGAGCTGCTGTCGCGGCGCGTGTGCCGGGCGCTGCGGGCCGACGTGGGGCGCGGCGCCGTAGTCGATGAGTTTTTGCAGGACCAACTCGTCATCTTCCAGGCGCTGCGCGAGGGGCGGTCCAGCTTCCCGCGGCGCGGCGGGGCCGAGGCCGAGGCGGAGGCGGAGGGGCTGGAGGACGCGATGGCGGGTCTTGATATTGGCGGCGGCGGCGGCGGCGGCGAGCTGGAGCGGGATAGGACGGGGGTGCCGTTTGGGGAGGGCAGCCTGCACGCCACGACGGCGCGGTGGGTGGCCGCGCAGCTGCTGCCGCGGGCCAGTTGGTTCGGTGGCGGGAGGGTGTGCGAGGGGGCCGGGGTGAGGGTTCAGAGGTAGGGTAGGGTTGGATCAGCACCTCGGCTCGCTTTTGAGCCATCACGCTCCAATGCTATAGCATATTGCAGCAACTGCGGTGCTGCGTGATATCCGCGGGAATGGCATCACATCTTTTGCCAGCTACAAGGATACAAAAGGCCACAAAACAGGCATATCCTGGGGATTCTGTAGATAGGTATCCCTACAGGCATCCCTCTCCCGGCCTGGGCGACGATTGCAGATGATGTAGCACGTGCTCAGCCATGACATAATGGCTAGACCCCGTGTCAGTCAGCATCTGGTAATCCACCCCGCAGTAGCGTCGCCGACAAATTTCTCACAAAGCAGCGACAAATGCAGTTGCAGATGCAGTAGCGGCGAGCTGCCGAAGAAGGGGTTTTGATAGATGCAAGTCCTGTCTATGTATGCTGGGTTTGGCATCCTCTCTATTTAGTCTAGGTCACATTCAAGACAACCTTCTGGATTTGCAATTCCTCACCCAAGCATTTCTTTTTTTGCTGGTAGTGGTTTCTCGACGCATCTCGAGAGATCCGCCTCGCTTGTCGCAAGGGTATATATGAAGCGCTTCGCTCTCGTCCTGTCCATCTTAGTGGCCTCGATCTCCATCCTCGTATACAACACTCCAGCCTTGCAATCCATTATCGAAGAGACCTTTTCCAGAGCAGCCTCGTTCACCAAAGCAAACCTCAACATCATCCCCTCCACCACCACACCACCACCCCAGTCTTCCATGCTCGGCGCGGCCAAGGAAGCCATGTCCAAGACCGCCGGCCCCATGCTCCGCCACGCAAAGGTCACGCCGCACCGGTCGTCGGCGCGCGGGCACGCCAACCACGGCTGGCTCGACACGTACCACTCCTTCAGCTTCGCGTCGTGGTACGACCCGCGCTTCACCCACTTTGGCTCCCTGCGCGTGCTCAACGAGGACCGCGTCGGGCCCAACGCGGGCTTCCCGACGCACCCGCACGCCAACTTTGAGATCTTCTCCTACGTCCTCTCGGGCGAGCTCACGCACCGCGACAGCATGCTCGCAAGGGGGCAAGAAGGGGACGCGTCGGCGGACCAGTTCTACCGCATGCGCCGCGGCGACGTGCAGTTCACGACGGGCGGCACGGGCATCAGCCACTCCGAGTTCAACGAGCACCCTTCCGAGACGGTCCACTTCCTCCAGATCTGGGCGCTGCCGTGGAGGAAGGGGCTGGCGCCGCGCTACCACACGCTCCGCTTCGACGAGGCGCTCAAGCGCGAGCGCTTCGTCACTATCCTGAGCCCGCTCAAGGCCGGGCCCGACGCGACGGCGGCCGAGGAGAAGGAGGCCGTCCCGGCCGTCGAGGGGTCCATCCCCATCCACGCCGACTTGGCGATGGGCGCCGGCATCATCGAGCCCGAGGCCCGCTTCGTCTGGACCGTGGGGGGACAGGGCACCGAGGCGACAAAGCGCAAGGTGTTTGTGCACGTGCCGAGGTGCAAGGGCGGCCAGGCGCAGGTGCGCATCGACGGCAGGGACGAGGTGCTCGAGGAGGGCGACGGCGCCTTTGTCGACGGTGTCAACGCGGGCGACAAGCTTGTCTTTGAGAGCGTGGGCACCGCCGACGCTGAGGTTGTTGTTTTGGATACCGCATAAGGTGTTTGTCGTGGGCTTTTGAGATTTTGTGTACATAGACGTTTTTTCAGTCCCAGCGTATTCAAGCCAACAGAGAAGACTTTCAAGTTCGAGTGTCTGGTGTAACAGGGGTAACATGACCTGAGATTATAAAAACAATACCGAATTCGCTGCTTCACCCCGACACCCAATAACGGTGAAACAACACCGCAAAACCCGCCAAAAAGAAACAAATCACCCATCTCTGACCCCGACCCGATTTGAACGGATAACCTTTTGATCTGGAGTCAAACGCGCTACCGTTGCGCCACGAGGCCCCTTCTTGTCCCACTCGGCCGCATGAACCCGCCCACGAAGCCTGCGGGGAGGAGGGCCGACTTGGGCCCGGCGGGACTCGCTTCTCCGTGCATCATTGCGATGGGGCAGCAAGAGACTGACGCTGGTCGTAGTATGACGTGAGCATACCTGCCCCTCAACTGAGAACAGGCTGGTCTTGAACAAATACATCTTGTCAATATATACGTCCGATAGTATGGAAGCGATGCCAACTGTGTGGTGCGTCTAAGGAGCCAGACGATGCTGGGTGTCTATGCGGGGAGTGAGAGACACAAGATTTAACAAAAGGCGATAACCAAGAAGAGGAAATATAAAACGGCGAATCTCGGAGGCTATATCCTTATTTCTCAGGGAGCGCAGAGGGAAGGATGTTAAAAGAATGATGCTGAAAAGAACACCCCTTTAATGCAAAAAGGTTGCACCCAACAGGCGAGACAGTGCGCCAGAATATCAGCAATTTCAGGCATGCAGGGACCATGGCATGCAAAGAGATAGACCAAAAATAAAGGCAAAGGCAGCTTGTAACCGCATAGAGGGTATAGCAGCGACCGAAATGCATAAGAGGTGGGAACAAAAAGCTGTCGGACACCCAAATCAAGGCCCAGTAGCAGAAGCCTTGGATTGCTGTCGGGGTGCGTCATAAATACGGAACTGCACAAATATGACGCAGTCCTCGACAATGGTCCCCACGGACCCGAACAGCCAGGGGATCGTCCTGATCAGATAGTCCCGGTCTTGGGAATAGGCGATCAGGCTCACGCCGTAGGTGAAATTGCCAGTCAAGGACAGGAGGAAAAACAGCAGGGCGAGTCCTGGAATCGTGTAACCGGCGGCTATTAGCAATGGTTCCTCCACCAACAACACTTCCCGGGCATGTGCCAGGGGAAACAGTCGAGAGAATAACCCACCTTCGCACGACTTTTCCTGGTAGTTCTTCCAGATCTGCGGGATGCGCGCGCACAGGTACAAGACGGCGCTCACATAGCCCATGACCATTCCAAAAGCCATGACGGCGTCCGCATCCCCCTCGGACAGCTTGGGCGCGCCGTCGCCGGCCGCGGGCTGGTTCCAGGCGCCCATGTGGTAAGAAAGAAAGAAGCCGGCGGTACCGACAGCGTAGACGGTCAGCAGGCTGAGCGCATTGTGCAGCCACGGGCTCCGGTCCGGCGTCTCGTCCTCTCCCGTGATGATGCGGGCGAGCGGGTCGAGGTTGGAGACGTCGCGCCGCAGCGTCGAGTTGCGCCGGTGCGAACCGGGCAGGCCCATGCTGGAGCTGCGGCGGCGCTGGTGGTGCTGCCGCGCCAGGAGTGGCGCCTCCTCGTCGGCGTCCTCCACGGCCGTGTTGTTGTCGCCATCGGCCCCAGTCATGTCGTCCGTCATTTCGGGCGCCGTGCCCGCTGCGGGCTCCGAGGCTCTGCGCCGGGCACGCGCGGCCCGGCGCGCGTTGAGCGCATTGTAGTAGAGGGACTGGCCGATCAGGATCAGGTCGGCGAAGCAAAAGTAGATCGCGAGGGCGACGCCCGTGGGCGCGAGCCCAGTCGCCAATGCACCTGTTCAGGGGGGCGATTTGAGCATCAGCAAAATTGTGTTTCGGGGCGCGCGGCCGAGGATTGGCAAGCGCATCGCGGAATTCTCGTACCCAACAGGTTGGTGACATCGCCGAGAAGCCAGACGAACAAAAAGGCCATAGAGAGGCCATCTGCGCTCTTGGCCTTGTAGTTGGTGATGAGTTGCGGGAGCTGTGGCAACGGCGCGTCGCACAACCGTCAGCCAAAGACGCCAGACAGACAGCCACAAATGCAAAAAGACAAAAAGCACTTCAGGAGAGACTTACAAGTAGACATATCCAGGCCGTCAGGCTGATGCTGCCAAATACGCCAGACAGCACCTCTCCCGGCGGAGGGGTCCCGACGGCGGCGGCGGCCAGGCTAGCGGCGCCTGCAGATAGGAGCGACGCCATGCCGACACGACGCCTGTGCAGGTCCCGTCGTCGTTTGAACTAAGCGGGGCCTTTGGCTAGTCGCCGTGTCTGGAGGGCGGAAAGGACTTTTGGCTGTGGCGATTCCGGGCTTGTGTGGCTGCAGAGGCAGAGTCGAGGGAGGACAAGAGGACGGGAGTCGGTAGGAAGTCAATCAGTGGACGCAGATACGGGCAGCTGTTGTATGTAGGTCGAGGTCAGATGGTCACGGGCGGAAAGGCTGGTGTATTTGTCTCTCCTCTGCCATGGGGAGTTGGTCGGATGGAGGGGAATTCATCAGCTGGCCAATTCGGCAAGCCCGTCACCAGTCATTCCTTGTCGCGACTGCAGTTTTTGATCGTTATCTCTGACGGACGAGATAACGACGTGAATGCGATGAAGCCAATTCCGCGGCCACCGTTCCCCACACAAGGTGGGCCGAATGGACGCATGCAGGGAAAGCCGCCGACGCAGGCTGCACAGGCTGCACAGGTCGCTGCACAAACAGATCATGATCGGATGCGCAAGACATGGGTCACATGACAGCACCGTCACACCCGGACCTGGGCCTCAAACACTGACAGCCAACATCAACACACGAGAACAGGCCGGTCAACAGGCTGGTCGCGTGCCTGTGCCGTCGTGCTGCAGCTGTGCAAATGACAGCAGGCGGGACCGCCCGACGCAGTGTTCAGACCGAAGGCTGATACCGAAGGCTGATGGATGTGCTTGGCTGCAGTGATGCAATTCTTAATTCTTCTTGCTGTCGTCTTCTTCCCCATCTCTCCGGTCCGACCACTCACCCACTCAGACTGGCACACGCTGCACCTCCCTGGCATGCGGGACCAGCGTCATCCCCTCTGCAGCCGCCCGCTGTCGCTACCAAAACCCGCTGGTGGGGACCGCACTGGGGCTTGTACGTAATGGCAACAAGTCCTGCGCGGCGACGAGAAGCAGGTAAACACACAAAACCGGAGTTTTTGCGCACCCGACGTCCACTCGACTCGCGCCCGCGCCCGTCCATATCACGCCGTCTTTGTGTGTTTATGTGTGGCGAGACGGCAGCTCCCGGTTTCGGCCGCTGTCGTGTTTTTGAAGTAGTTGATGTGTGTTGAAACGAGGTACGGCCAGCAGGGTAACGGGGTACAGCCAACACACGCAGTAATCAGGGGCTGTCCGACACCTAGAGCACCAACCTGAAAGGGCAAACTTGAGGGGCTCCGACGTCGGACGATCCATTACCTGACACCCCACCGCCCGTGCGACTCACATCATGCATCCATAATCCCCAGGCTGTGTTCCTGTTCCCAAGCAATCCGACGGGTTACTTGATCGGTCGTATGGTGTAATGGTTAGCACATGAGGTTCTGATTATCAGGCCTCCTCAGGATCTGGGTTCGATTCCCAGTATGACCTTTTTGCAGTGGTTCGCTGGTCAGCCATTTATTTCTCTTTATATCTATCTCCCTTGTGGTTTTTCCTCTTGCAAGTTTTACTTTTCGCCCAACTCTAACCAAACCGAGCACGTGTGGCCGGAATGGCACGGGAGGAAAATCCGCTCTGGCGTTGCTTCCCCCTCCTCGGCCTGGCTTACACGCCTTTGTCAATATGCGCGAACGGGTCAAATTAGACAAGTAGCGAGTGACCCGTAGATGCGGGAGTGACAACGCCGGCAACTACGAGGCAAGCAATCCACGTTCCCCCATTGCCGCTTCGCAATACCCATGGCTATATTTTCTCGCCAGTTGAGGGAACAACGGCAGCCCAACGATGCCACTTTCATCACCTATCCAGGGGTTATTCCCAAGACTTGCTACTCCCCAAGTTCTGCTGCCGGAAAGCCGTCGCACCTGCTAGCCGCGCTCTCGACAACACGCAAAGCCGGTGACCCGAATCTGGTGCTTCATCACCTTCCGTCAGGCCCAACCCTAGATCCGTCTGTTCAAGGAGGGACCAACCAAGCCCCGCTCACCCTTTGATGCTGTCAAGGGCACTCCCCCTCGATCTGTGTAATCAAGGCACATTGCACCTCCTGGCGGCAACGGCAAAGACGAGTCGAGGACGCATCGTGCCACTCACTGCCCGTCGCACGACGTGCAAACGCACCCGTCCCTGCCTCCCATCCCGCCCAGCGGTCCTCGTGCGGCAGGCGGGGAATGCCTCCAGGTGGCGGCCCTTATCAGAGCCGCCTGCCATGTCAGACGCTGCTGCTGCTTCCGCTGTGGTTCCCCTCACCAACCTAGAGCTAGAGTGAATGAGCCGGGTTGGGCATGTCCCATCATTGAATGTCACTATTCTAGCTCAAATAAAGTCAGATCACTCTCTCGACAGCATCTTCGTCTTCCGCTTAAAAGGACCTCTCCCACCCTCTGCCGTTCCTTGATAACTTTGTGTCGACAGTACCCAAGTACCAGTCCAGCCCATACAACAGCCATCCACATCCAAGATGCGTGTATCCGTCGCCCTCGTCCCCACCCTCCTCGGCCTCGCCGCCGGCCTCGAGCCCACCAGCTTCACCACCCCCTCGCTCGACGGCAGCTTCACCATCCCGCCCGGCACCCCGGACGGCGTGTACGCGGTCCACACAGCCAACGGCACGGCGCGCCACGTGCTCCTCGACGCCTCCCGCCCGGGCACGCTGACGTCCGCCCTGGACGGCAGCGCCCTCGCCGTCGCCGCCCCGGTCACACCACCCCAGTCCCCCATCCCCATCCCCGCCGCCCCCTCCTCCCCCCGGGCGGCTCGCCAAGCGCCAGTGGCGCTCCACGTGGCGCGTCTTCTGCCCGGCCGGCCGCGACGGCAACAACCCGCCGCGCATGGACGCGGGCCAGACGGACGCGGCCGTCGACGACGTGCGGCGCCAGTGCGGCGGCCGCCTCGACGTGCCGAGCGGCTGGCACATCTACGCCGTGCGCGGCTCCGTCGCCGCCTTCTACTGCAACTTCATCTCCGACTCGACGTACTGCTCCTCGACCGAGTTCCGCGACCGCGCAGACGAGATCACGACGACTTGCGGCGCCTACGTCGCCGGCTGGAACGACCAGGTGCGGCCTGCCTCTCTCTCTCTCTC